ATGATAATAATAATAATAATAATAATCATCAACAATTTATTAATAATAGTCCTACATATCGATTGCCATTATATATAACTAAAAAAGATCTAAATCGTATGTCAATATCAATCGATTCATCACGTTCAATAGTAAATAAATTAAAATTAAATAAAGAAAAATGTCATTTATTTCAATATGTATTTGATCCAATTGGTACAAAGAAAAAAATTGAAATAAAATATTTAATAAATTATGATCCTAATTTAAAAGAATCATTAATTGAATGTTATTATTTAGAAAAACTTGGATTTAATTTACCTGAAACAATTCAACAAATAAAATTACAATATTCTAAATTTGAACAATTATCAAATGAACTTCGTTTAATGCTTGAAGATTATCATTTAACAATTGCATCACTTGATACTATTGAAGTATCACTTCTTCAATCTTATATTGATCAAATTCAAAGAACTATTAAACCTGGAACATCAAGAATATCATTTGGTGAAATTGGTAATCTTGATTATGTATACGAATGTAAAAAACAATTAGAAAAATTTCATTCGATTCTTAATCAAATACGAAAAATTTCATTAGATATTCATGAACATATTGAGACTTTTCGTTTTTGTATTATTGATCCAATTGTTCCACGACATAATGATGGTAAATTATATATCTATTCATATATATTCTAATAAGGAAACATCTAAGTGTCAAATCGCTTTTGAATCAAGACTATGTACATCATATAGATCCAAATGAACTATTGGTTTATCACTACCATCGTATTGCATTTTTACGATATTTTTTAGTAAAATGCCGTGGTTCTCCTCATGAACGCCCAAAAAAAACAGAGTTTCGAATTTCGACTTGAAAATTTGCAAAGAGACAAGTCTTAACGAGAATAGTGTATTGTGAAAGTTTCAGATCTTTTGATTAGTCCTATTCTAAAATAAAAGTCTGTTACATCTGAGGACGCTGAAATTTTGTTCAAATTCATGCATTTTTGCATCATCCTCAAGAAAAAATCTGCTGTTGCCGTGGTGTCGGTAGCGCCACCATGAACATCTTTGGTACAATAGTTCTGACTTAAAAGCGATTGAACAATTAACTAATTTATATTGTTATATACTTTTGATACAAAAAAAAAATTTTCTCTATTATTTCATCTGATTAAAGCAAAATTTTCCCGTATTTAATTGTTTTTGTATAGGAAGTTTATTTACTTGTCGAGAATATTTTGAATTTCTTGAAAACAAACGTAAAGAAATTATATTAAGTTTAAAACGACGTTATGAACTTATTGGTCCGTTATTAACTAAAGTCGAAGCATTAGTATTTGGTACTAATACTGGAAAACATAAAAATAGTAAGTTAATTTTTTCATTTTATCAAAATATTAAAAAAAAAATATTTCTTTTGCTTTTTTTAAGTGCATCCATTTTATACATATTGGGAACATGAAATATTTACATCTTTAGTTGAATTAGTTATTCGTAATCTATGTCAATTTTATGAAAATATTTTCGGTAGTTCATCTCTTTTTATTGCTGATGTAATACTTGCTCCTCCTCGTGTTAAGCTACAACCACCACTTGAAGAAATTATTAATTCTATTCGACGTAGTGCTCATGGAATAAGTCAATTACCTAAACATTTCGTACGATGGTTACATGGTACATGTATATCATGTCCCGTCATACCAGTACTTGATGAAAATCTTGATTCACCTGATTTTACTTTTAATAATGATGTTAAACAACATCCTGATGTTGTAAGTAGAGATGAATCATTTTGTTTTTGTTAATTCGACTTTACAATAGTGGTCAAAAACTTTACTCAAATCTAATTAGTTGACACAAAAAAAATTCTAGTCAATCAGAATTCAGCAAACGATTTGAAGACAAAACATAGTGATGTTTGGACTTATCAAGAGTTCTCTCTACTCAATTTTGCACTACATTGTTACCAAATACATGATTAATTCTCAATGTTTTTTTCAGTGGAAATAGAGTTCAGTCTATGTTCATTCTTTACTCAAAAGATGAGTTCATTTGCTTAAATATTGCAGAGATGTCCATCGCGGCTGAAAATCTGCCGCTGCCGCGCCGCGATGGTCTATAAAAAAATGTCGCCGCGGCGCTACCGCGCCGCGACGAGTAATAAACTTGCCACTGCTGCACCGCTGCCGCGATGGTTTTCAAAAAAGTGTTTCGAATTTCACTACAGCAACTATATGGGACCAGAAATATTGGTACTAGTTCCTCAGATTCATTCAGTCTCACAGTGTTTCCTTTGTAAACAATGAAATTCTATCAAATTCATGCAGTTTTCCAATGTCCTCGAAAAAAATTCTGTCGCTGTCGCCCCACTGCCGCGATGAATTTTTAAAAACTTTGCCGCTGCCGCGTCACTGCCGCGATGAGTTTTTGAGAAACCTGCCGCTGCCGCGTCACTGCCGCGTCACTGCCGCGATGAATTTTTGAGAAACCTGCCGCTGCCGCGCCGCCAACCGCGGCCGCGGCGGCGGCGCGATGGACATCTCTGAAATATTGGCATCTCTAAATGTTTTTTGAATTCTCCGTCTCATCAACACGACGGTGAAAATTGTACCATTTCCCATCTGTACATAATTTATTTATGAAACTTATAGGCACTTATGTTCAACTGTAGAAGTAGCTTTTTCAACAATTTAAACTTCATTCACTCAATTACTACTTGGTTCTCGTTTCAAAAGAGTACAAAATAATTTTTCTTCACATCAACAGTCACAATAATATGGTCACAGCACTAGAGAAAGTTGATGAAGTTAGTTGCATGAATAGCTGGAATACAACGCTACATAATGAACCATTAGCTAATCTAGATAACTCATCTTTTCTAGAGTTATGAAGTTCAAAAGCTATATAGATGCTATTAAAACTTAACTAAATTTTATGTTAAGCTAAATCATCCATCCCTAGTCATCAGTTGATCACAAGAAAAAAAAAAACAGAAAGATGTTTTTAGATTTCAACATTAAAACCAGTTCGATCATATGCTTCTGGATTAGTAACTGCTATTAATCAAACTCTTACTCAATTATTAACATATAGTGATTTATGGAAAAGTGATAAACAAAAATATACAAGTCGATTTGCTTTAAAATCTCGTACATATTCTGATTATGATGAAATAATGACAATTTTTTCTAAAATTAATCAAACATTTGATTATTATTTAATTAATAAAAATATTTATTCAATTGAATTATGTTTTAAACAATTTCATCAAGCATTAAAATATCATTGTAAAGAATGGATAAATTATTATGGACAAAATTTATATAATAAAATATCAAATAAACTTAAAGAAATTGATGATATTTTAAATAATTTATTTCAAAATCTTAATCATGATGCTGATACAGTACCTGATTTAAAATTTGTTTTAAATATAATAAAACAAATAAATCAACAACAAGAATCAATTGGACATCAAATTTATGATATTATACAATCATATCAAATTTTAGATCAATATCATTTTGAATATTCACAATCAGAATCAATACTTATTCAAACATTATTTCCACGTTTAATAGAACTTGTTGAAAAATCACATATTATACAATATCGTTTAAAACCTATACGTGAACGTTTTCGTGAAATTATACAATATGATATTGAATTATTTCAACGTAGAATTGATGAATTTATTGATAAATATGATAAATATGATCCATATACAATTGAAAATAATCTTGATCAAATTTTTCAATTTGTTAAACAATATGAAAAAGAAATTGATAAAATTGAACAACGAAAAATTGAATTAATTAATATAATGAAATTATTTCATATACCATTAATTAATTATCCACAATTAATACGTATTCAAAAAGAAATAAATAATTTAAATATTTTATTTAATCTTTATGATGAATTTAAACGAAATAAAAAATTATGGTCAAATATTCTTTGGTCAGAACTTAATATTAATGATTTAATTATTAATGTAGATTTATTTATTAAAAATTTTCATCGTTTATCACAAGATATTAAAACAACAGTTGTTGGTCATAGAATCGAAAAATATTTAATAGGTAATTAAAAATAATCAAATGTTATACTTAGAAATTGTAGAAATATTGACCATTTCAAGTCATATTGAATCTACTAGGATGTTCTGATGAAATAAGCATAAGTCTAAAAAGGCTCATTCCTACGAGTCTTTGGATCCGTGTTATTATGCTACACAGACTGCCGCTAAGTTCTTCTACTTCTACAAACTATCAAGAGTCCTGATTATGATCGTTTTACTAAATTTTCGCCGCAATGTCAGATATTTAACAAAAAAAAAACCAACAATCAAGTTTTTCAGCTGCTAGAATTTGCAATCCTGATTCTGTTTGAATTACTCAGAATGATAGAGCAAATAAATCTATACCGAATGAAATATCTTTCAGTTCTCGATGACATTTTTTTTTCAATAAGATACATTCACTTTACGGAAGACACAAAAATGGTGTTTCCATACGAGATAATAGAAACAACGACTTTTGTACCTTCCTTATGATTGATATATCTTGGTCAAAAAACGTTGTAGAGAATTGTTTGCTCTACCACTCTGAGCAATTCAAATGGAATTGTAATTGCAAACTCTAGGAGCTGAAAACTTTGGTTTTTATTTTTTCATAGGCTCTATCCTCAGAAAACTAGCCATCATATTTATCTTCAAAAGTTTTCTACCTAAATCACGATTTGGATTCTTCTTAGCGCTTACGGCAGCAGAGAAACATTGAAAATAAATCTTCTAACCGTCGAAGAATTACTGACAAACATCGGGTGTCTATAATTCTTTCATATAGTATAAAAGTCCTTTCATGTTAATGGTTCAGAAAAGTGAAGACCTCTTTGTGTTTTAGTTTCTTGGAAATTTCTTTCTACTTTTTGCGAATATTGATAGACTTGGATCCTACGAGCGAAAATTTTATCTATAAACGCCGAGCAGTCGATGTAGTTCTACGCCTTGAAAAAAAAATATTTTTTTTTGTTTTTATTAGATTTTCGTTCATCACTTCCAATTATGGTTGATTTAAAAAATGAAGCATTACGTGAACGTCATTGGCGACAAATTATTCAAGAGACTAATATTGATATTGATCTAACAAATAATATTCTTACATTAGAAAATATTTTTCAAATGAATTTACATCAATACAATGATATAATTCAAAGTAATTATAATTTTCGTGAAACACGATCTAAAACAAGTGTTGAAATACATCGGATGGAAGATGATGAAAAAATACGTCCCAAAATAGATAGAATTGAATAATCTCTCTGTAGTTAGCAACAGCAGCTATATCGTGTTTTTACATCAGAGATGTCCACGGCGGTGTGAGAGATATTTGAAAAACTACCATCACGGTAACGGCAACCTTCTATATAGTTCACCGCATCGAAGCAGCGGCGCGGTAGACATCTGTGTTTCACATTTTGTACTAACAGGGATTGTGCTAACAGTTTTTTTTTTAACAAAGAATGAAAATAAAAATGGCTATTTTATAGGGATGCACAGTGAGTCACCGATACACAGTTCTCTGGAGGTTACTGATTACAATGGCATCCCGTTGTTTACTGAAGCATAGACTGCAATGACATCCGTGTTCGCTACAGCATTGAGATACCAGCTCTATCAAACGATGCTCTTTCTGTAGCGGTATGTTCCAATACTTCAAAGAACACTGGTATCAGTGTGCACCAATTACACTAAGTTGGTGGTGGTGGTCAGTAAATTGAAACCGCACATTCCTATTACTATGTAAAATAAAATAATTAAAGTTGATTTTGAAAAATTTTAATTTAGGTATTTTACAAACAGCTATTAAAGAATTACAAATTGAAAAGAATCTTAATGATATTCAACAACAATGGGATACAATGCGTTTTCAAATACATAAACATTATCGTCATACATTAAGTACAAATATTCAACAAGAACGTAGTTTTATTATAACTGGTGTTGATGATATTCTTCAAGCACTTGAAGATTCAACATTACTTCTTAATAGTATTAAAATAAATTTCTCTTAAATGATTATTTTTATAGTTTTTTTTTGTAAATTCTTTCTAAGGTATAGGAACATCACGTTTTGTTGGTATTTATCTTTTACAAGTTGAACAATGGATTCGAATTTTATCTTTAATATCTGATGTAATTAAATTATGGACAATTGTACAACAAAAATGGATATATCTTGAAAATATATTTATTGGTTCGAATCTACAATTTGGTGAAGATGCTAAACGATTTGATATAGCTGATAAATTATATCGAAAAATAATGTTTGGTATGTTTTAAAATTTTTCTATGTTTTTATAATGAATTTATTTTATTATTTAAGAAACATCAAGAAATTCATTAGTTAAAGATGCTTGTATACATCCTGGTCGATATGATGAATTAAAATCAATATTAAATCTTATTGAAAAAATTCAAAAAAATTTAAATGAATATTTAAATACAAAACGTCAATTATTTTCACGTTTTTATTTTCTATCTGATGATGAACTTCTTTCAATTATTGGATCATTAAATCCAAATCATATTCAAGAATATTTACAAAAAATGTTTGATAATATTTCGACATTAAATTTTATATATTATGATAAATTATCTAATTCAAAAGAAAAACAACAAATTAATGAACAAATATATTTAAATAATCAAGAAAATTCTATTTATGCTATAGCAATGATATCATTAGAAAAAGAAGAAATGATTTTTTTCAATTCAATTGAATGTAATGGAAAAGTTGAAATATGGATGTCAAATATTGAAAAAGAAATGAAATATTCAAATCGTTGGTTAACTAAAGAAGCTATTTTTTATTATCGTTTTAAACAAAATAGATTAGAATGGATGAGAAAATATATTGGAATGGTTATTCTAGCTGTAAATCAACTTTGGAGTACATGGGAAATTGAAGAGTATGTTAAGAAAATAAAATTCCATGTGTAATATTAACTAATGAAAGAATATTTTTAATTGTCAAATCGCTTTTGAATTGAAACTATGTACATCGTGTAGATTCTAATGATCTATTGACTATGATGAAAAGAGTTCGAACTAATAGCTTATTACTGCCAAGATACTATATTTTTTAGCAGAATACCGTATTTCTCCTCAGAAATAACAGGAAAACTAGAGATGAGCAGCTCCGGTTTTTAGTCGCTTCACTCCAACGGGAATAAAAGATCGTTGCTTTATTGGAAAACTCTGGTTATTTTGGCTCCTTCACACACTTAGCTTTTGCACTAATTAATTATGCTTAGATTCTATTTTAAATGATAAAAATGGAAGAGGAAAAATTACAGTTCGTGGTATCCGTCTGATATTTTTCTCGCTCCAGCTTTGTAGAACTGCCCTTCTCTAAGGAAAATTCAGTTTTGAATTTCGACTCTAAACTTTTCATAGAGATAGATCTTAATAAGAATAGTTCATTGTGCTAGTTTCAGAGTTTTCTATTGCGCCTATTCTACAATAAAAATATGGGAATTGACCGTTGTATACGGGCGACGCGAATAATATGCTTTTATCGTAATCATATCTTAGAGTAGAAGCAATCAAAAGATCTGAAACTTTTACAACAAACTATTCTTGTTAAGACCTGTCTCTATGCTAAGTTTCAAGTCGAAATTCGAAACCCATTTTTCTTGTTATTCCTGAGAGAACTACAGCATTCTGCTAAAAAATACGGCATGTTGGCAATACTCAGCTATTAGCCCGAAATCTTTTCAGAGTATTCGTAGCTTATTAGAAGTATTTCCTTGTAAAGGGTGAAGTTTTGATTGACATACATCTTATGATTTAATTAAATAATCAATGTTGAATAGTATAACGACTAAATTCAGATCGAGTTTAGGAAATAAAAGAATTGTATGATTACTAGTATAAAATGTACTCTAGACGAAAGAATTCAGTATTAAAATGTGGAATTCTAGAAGTTGCGAAATGTATCGAGTGTGTTAGTAGCTGAATACAAACAATCGATCAAAAAAAAATATTTCGAATCTTCGGAACGACTATCACATTCAGACTAAAAGATTTTGTTGTAATTAGGAGTGTGATACGAATTCAAATATTTTGAAACTAATGGGCTCTTTCAATCTAAGAATTTTGCAATGTCTGATGTCAAACGAATACCATTTAATCATCTCTCATCAAAAATTTGACTTGATGAGCATCTGTTCAAGACAAATTTTGCTATTTATGATTTTCATTTAGCATAGCACTTATGTAATCCATCGCGTATGCATCCAACGTTCATACTTTACTAAGTTATCGCACGAAAGTCTTAGCACAAAATATTCATTCATTTTTTGGCTACTTAAAGGCAGTTGATTAGAGTCAGACTTTTTCGCTCTTTCTGAATATCTGTTCAGAATTTCCTTCTAAGGTAAGATTGGACAGGTATAATTAGATTGTTTCAAAAAAGTCAAAAGTAGTGATTGTATAGAATATTATTATGTATTTCGACTTCAAATCTATAAAATTCAAAATACGAAATAGTTTTTTAACAGCAAGTTTTTATCAATACCGATTTCCATAGAAACTAGCTCTTTAGTGAAAATGCATAGATGAGAATTTACTTATTATAATAGCTCATTTTGTACATAATTCAGTGTTCTACAATAATATTGAGTTGAAGCTGTTCTAATACACAAAATAATAACTGCGTCAAAACCACCATTTTGCTTTGCACAGACACAATTTTGAATTTTTTTTCGAAATTTATTGATACTTGTTTAATGTTATTTCAGAAAGAAAATCTGAGCATATATTTGAAAAAAGCGAAAAATTCTGATTCTAACTAATTGTTTCCAAATATTCTCAAGAGAGTTATGTTTTGTACTCATTCAAAAAGATGATTATTTATTTTCTATGAATTATCGATTTCTGGATAATCGACATTCGCATCATATTTCGCAGTCGAGTTGACTCAAATGCTATTTAGTTTTTATTAGTAACGCTATTGATCTTTGTCTAAATTAGTTTTCATAGTCTAGAATTGTTAATATGAAGTATGTAATCAAGTATGATTTTTCTTCGATTTTTATTTTTTAATTTTCAGTCAATTTGATAAAATGATCAAGTATAATCAACGTTCAGCAATGAAAACTTATGTTAAACAATTAAATTCTCAAATCGAAGAAATTGTTATAGAAATGAGAAAATTATTAAAACCAAGTACGAAAAAATTTTGTTTAGACAAAAACAAAGAATATTCTATTCGATTAATTCTTTATTTAAGATGAATATAATAAATTTGAAACAGTTCTTACTCTTGATGTACATACTCGTGATATGGTAGATATTTTAATTCGTGATGGTATTAATGAACGTCATGATTTGTAAGTTAATCGAATATATATTATAGAAATTCTATATTAAATTTAGTTCATGGCAATGTCAATTACGTTTTTATTGGTTATCAAATGAAGATAATTTATATTTACAACAATGCAATGGAAAATTCGAATATGGTTAAAAACGATAATTTCGAATAGAAATTTTTGATGTTCTTTTGTTGTTCTTGTAAAATAGGTTATGAATATATGGGTCTCAATGGTCGTCTTGTTATTACACCATTAACTGATCGAATTTATCTAACAGTTACACAAGTAAATTGAAGTTTTTAGTATTTTGCATCAAACTTCAATAATTCAACTTTAGGCTTTGTCCATGTTTCTTGGTTGCGCACCAGGTTTGATTGATGTATGATATAGAATATTGAAATAATATTCGTAATTTTTAAATAGCTGGACCAGCAGGTACTGGAAAAACCGAATCAATTAAAGATCTTGCTAAAGCTATGGGTCTTCTTTGTGTTGTTACCAATTGTGGTGAAGGTAAGATTTTCTTTGATATTCATTAGTTCAATTCAGAGATCGAATCGATATCGATACGAATTTCAAATCGGTTTCATTTCTAATTTAATTTCTCCTAATTTTTTTAGGTATGGATTATCAATCAATAGGTAAAAATTTAAATGGTTTATGTCAAACTGGTGCTTGGGGTTGTTTTGATGAGTAAATTTTTTAAATGTTTTTTTTTGATAATATTCTAATTAATAATTATTTAATAAAACAAAAACAAAAAGATTCAATCGTATTGAAGCATCTGTTCTCAGTGTAGTTTCTACTCAAGTAAAAAGCATTCAACAAGCTTTATCATTATATGTTAAAGAATTTTTTTTTGAACACAATCAAATTCAACTTCTATCAACTGTTGGTATATTTGTAACAATGAATCCAGGTTATGCTGGTCGAACAGAATTACCTGAATCAGTTAAAACATTATTTCGACCTGTTGTTGTTGTGTAAATATTTTTTTTATGAATCTTCTCTCTTATTTTATCTTTTGTGGAACTCACATATATTTTGGAAGAAAATAATGAGTAAATCGAGGTCTTTTTGAGGCTTTCTTCTTATAGTAACCAAGGTCAAAGATTCAAGATCAATGAGTATGTCTTCCAGAGCAGCGAAAAGGAGGAGGCAGTCATGGGATACATTTCCATAGCAGCCGATTACGACAGACTTCCTTCCCAAAGTTCCTTCGCAAAGAAAAAAAAAGTGCTGAACGGCATTATTAATAAGACCCAAACTGTTTTAGAGTATTTCAAAGCCATTCTCGAAGGTTGAATGATTGGCACACATTTGTAAATGTTCTAAATAATGCAGTTTTTGATTTTTGCGCAGTTAAAAATTTACATTCAAGATATTAAAGATGATAGGGAGCTCAGAAGCTTGTCTATTCCGTGGTCTCGGTCTTGACAAACTTCTATATTTTGGTCTCGCATATCTCTAGTAGTGGTGCCATTGATTTGTCACAACCATTATATGACCAACATAAAAAGCGTGAACTAATCAATATAAGTGTTTCTAAGCTTATCGAGATATATAATAGTGTGTTGAGATCTGCTATTGATATAATGGATATACGCAACGGGCTTATTCGCCAGTTAAGTCAATGATTGGAATAATAATACTGTCAAATTAAGAAAAATGAAAAACAATAAGCGAAGAGCAGAAGGGTTAACATAAAATAGCGCACCAGTAAAAAAAAAGGGAATAAATCAGGCAGATCGTCTCCATAACGATTGATTATCGTTAGAAAACACACTTTACGCACTTTGCATTAAATATCACGAGGCTAGTGAATACATGCGAGTTCCACATTTTAGTCCTACACAGTCTATGCTGACAATTTTTTGTTTTTTTTAATATAAATAAATTTACTTTCAGTGTTCCGGATATGCAATATATTGGAGAAATAAAATTATTTGCTAATGGATTTATACATGCAAAGATTTTAGCTAAAAAAATGGTAACATTATATCGTTATGCATCTGAATTACTTAGTAAACAAGTATATTAAATTTAAAGAAAAAGGTTTTTTTCTTCTTCTCTTCATATTTTAGTATCATTATGATTGGGGTTTAAGAAGTTTTAAAGCTGTTTTATCAATGACAGGTTATTTAAAACGAACATCAATGAAAGAAGATCCAGAAGAAATTGTTCTTCTAAGAGCTTTACGTGATATGAATATACCAAAGTTTATTTATGATGATGTTAATTTATTTCTTACATTATTAAATGATTTATTTCCAAATATTCATTGTACAGAAATATCATATGAAAATTTACATCGAATTATTAAAGAAATATTAATCAAACAACAATATATTTTAGTTTCAGAACAAATTGAAAAAATTATACAATTATATGAAACAATGATGACACGTCATTCAACAATGTTAGTTGGCCCAACAAGGTAAAAAAAAAACCAAATTTTAAAAAATAAAACAGAAAAGATTTTATTTTAATTTTAGTGGAGGAAAGACAGTAGTGTTAAACACTTTAGCTGAAGCACAAACTCAAATGGGAATCAAAACAAATTTATATACATTAAATCCAAAAGCACTAAGTGTTATTGAATTATATGGTACACTTGATCCATTGACACGTATGTATATACATATTAATGTTCAATCTGGGATCCAACATTGAGTGGAGATTACTCCAGGCCATTCTAAGATTAGTCAGTTACAATAAGTCTAATCTAGTCTTCTCCTAGGCCAATACCAGATCCGCCTAGAGGTCAGTCTCGAATTAGAGACGAAGTATATTGCATTCTATGCGGAGGTGTTGTTGATTGTTAGTTGCTTGTCATTAGATATTGTATTTCGTGGAAAATAAAATTTCATATGTAATGGTTAGAGATGTCAGCCGATGAGTTGATCGGCGGCGGTTCAAGGCTTTTCATGACCCTCTTGTTTTCTTGTTTTCGAGAGATTTTGATCTTGAATGTCCAAAATATGCGAAACCTGAGTATGGTTTTTGTACAACGGTGGCGACGGCTGAAAATCTTTAACATTTTTTGGCTTTCGGCGGCGCGGCTTTATCGCATGAACGACAGCGGTGGCTCAGCCGCTCGGCTTACACCTCTAGTCATGATTAATTTTTCAATCCGCCATTGACCTAGACCAAAGTGAGATCATAGATTGAATGCAAACACATATAATTTTACTTTTGATATCAAGTAGAAACTTATTTATATGTAGGTGAATGGACTGATGGTATTGTCTCGATGCTTTATCGAATGATTAATCGACCAACAATACGTAATGAAAGACGTTATATTGTATTTGATGGTGATGTTGATGCACTTTGGATTGAAAATATGGAATGTTTTTTTTTTTGTTTTATTTGATAAATTAAAATTATATATATTTTTGTTTTTTGTGTTTAGAATTCAGTTATGGATGATAATAAATTATTAACATTAGCTAATGGTGAACGTATTCGTTTACAAGATTATTGTTCTTTATTATTTGAAGTTGGTGATTTAAAATATGCATCACCAGCAACTGTATCTCGTTGTGGAATGGTTTATGTTGATCCAGAAAATTTAGGTCCATATCCAATATGGAAACGTTGGTTAAATATGAATTTTATTGATCGATTAAATGAAAAAGATCAATTAGATTTACTTTATAATCGTTATACAAAAAATGTCTTAAATTTTATATATCAAGGTTTAACAGAAACTGGACAAAGACCAAGAATGAAAATGATCGTTCCATTGTAAGTATGAAAAAGAAAAACATAGAAAAGAGAATATTGTTGTTGTTCGTAGAACTCAAGTAAATATTATCGTACAATTAACAAAATTACTTGATTCATTATTTTTACCATTAATTAATCATGAGAAAAAAGATCAATTACAATTAAATTCTGATATAATTCATGCTATCTTTCTTCAAGCACTTATTTGGTCATGTGGTGCTTGTTTGAAACAAGAAGATCGTATTATATTAGATACATTTATTCGATATTTATCAGGTCTTTCAACTGTAACAATAAATTCGAAAGCTAAATCAGGACAATTACCTAATGAAAAACTTCTACTTTTTGATCATATATTTCAACCTGAACTTAATCAATGGACAAAATGGAATGATCTCATTCCAAAATATGAACATGATCGATCAAAACGATTTACTGAATTACTTGTTCCAACTATTAATACAGTTCGTTTAGGTATGATGAAAAGAAATATACATATGTTCATTGAAAATATATTATTGATAACTATGCTATTTTCGAAAATGATGTAAAATATTCGATATTTACACTACATTATAAGGGTCTAGAAACGAGAACTTATATCTGTATCTGTCTGTAACATAGTTACCATATGATTGCGTTGGATAACAAAAAAGGTCATCTAAATATTTTGATTCAAATTAACCGGGCAATAATATTCCAGGATGAAGAATACAATGCTATGGGTGTAGGTGAAGACTAGTACTAACACCCACAGCGACCATGTAATCTATTTAGCAATTTTGAAATGTTCGGTCTTGATTAGGGATGTATTGAGATCGAAACAAGACTCTCGGGTAAGGAGCTGCGAGTCTACATTTTTGTGGACTCGAACCTGGAGCCGAACAAAGTTTAAAATTTGGATCCGGACTCAGCCGAGGCCAAACTCGCGGTCTTTTTCATCAATACCTGTCACGCTTCTTGTACATGAACAAGTGAGGAGTGAATACCACGCCTATCTACGATTAAGAACGAGATTGATATTAATTATAATCGAGACTAACATTTATTAATACCAAGGCCGAACGTCTCGGTCTCGCACATCCCTAGTTTTGATGTCTGATCATTCATTTAGACAGACATACTACTCTGTCTGAATTCATGCTATTTGAAAAACTCGTATTACTTTTACTTACAAGGGAATCTCCCGAAATGCCGATTTCAATTATTTTTTTGCCTATTGGTACTACATAATATTCTAGTGGAAATTCTAAAAGAATTTGAGTTAAACATCGTATTTTTGAATTTTGTCTTAAAACTATCTCCATATAAAGGTCTTATCTACAGTAGTTTGTAAGCTTCGTATCTCCAAGCTATAAGCTTTTCAAAAATAGACACCCTTGCGAAGCATAGTCAATAATACAAGAATATATTTGAAAAGCTCGTATCTCGGAGGAACGAAATCTTGAAACTCTTCATACAAGTTACTGTGTATCAAACCTTTACATGGAGACGGTTTCAAGACAAAATTCAAAAACACAATATTTAATTGAAATCCTGTTAGGATTTTCATTAGAATACTATGTAATACCTATAGACAAAAAAAAATCATTGAAATTGGCATCTGGAGAAATTTCCTCTTTAGTTTTAAACTTTTTAATATTCCATACAATGTTGATTTAGAATGGTTAATTAAATCTATGATAACCACTCATCAACCTGTTTTATTCGTTGGTGATACTGGATCGAGTAAAACAGCAACTATTCTATCTTATATACGTAATTTTGATTCACACTATACAAATTTGATTTTAAATTTTTCTTCACGTACAAAATCAATTGATGTACAACGTTCAATTGAAACTCAACTAGAAAAACGTTCAAAAGATACTTATGGACCAACAGCTGGCACTAAATTAATCATATTTCTTGATGATATTTCTATGCCAAAAATTGATCAATATGGAACACAACAAGCAATTGCTTTACTTAAATTACTTATTGAAAAACATGGAATGTATGAACGAACCGGAGAACTTAATTGGAAATTTGTTACAGATATTGATTGGATTGCTGCAATGAGCACTCCTGGTAATGAATTATTATTGATACTTCTCGTTTGAATTTATATCGAATCTACAAAGCCGCCTAGGTGAAATTAACATAAGCCTAACAGGATTTATCACCATGAGCCTTTTGAGTTGAAAATTCAATATCATTATTTTTCGCTGAAACTTTCGAGGCATTCTACAAACGAAATTTCATATCGAAGTTCTGTCTTTTGATCTTTTGGGTGTGGCTGTTAAGGAATTAGTTCAAATCCAGATAGTGATTGTAATAGCCAATGGAGTTTTCTATCTAATACACTCTATACCACGATTTCTAAAAGAAAATAGGACACAGTAGTTTTTCAGATCCCGGAAGACTATTTTATAGCGATGACATCATAAAGAACATAAAATGAGGGATTCCCGAATTTTCTGCGACCTTCCCTTAAGAAGTTAAAAGTATTACAAAAACCTAAAAAGGCATTTTTCGGTCGATTTGTTGATAAATTTCGTTCTTTGTGATACTTTTACCTTTTGAAGGGAAGGTCGTAGAAAAATTCAACGACCATTCATTTTATCCAGAATTTTGTCTTCTTCAAAATGGCATAATTTTAAAAAAATAGTCTTCTGGTACTTGAAAACTACCTTGTCCGAGAGACCGAAATTTCGGTTCATGACACCATTGATTCCTAAAATAGAAATATTCAATTTGCTTAATTAGTTGCGAAATATCATGGTGTCGAGCAAGACAGATCTCTTTTACATCAGTAGCACCATCACAAATCAGGGCGTGAGTGCGAGTGTAGGATGTGGGCGTGTAAGCGCTGATGAGGAGGTCCGGAATGTGTATACATGATGTGTGATTGCTACTGCTAATGTAAAAATGATACACACTCTATGCATTATGTCGTCCTGTTCTGCACCATGCTATCTCGCAACTGATTAAGCGAATTAGGTTTCTTTTTATTTAAGAAGTCCATGACGTCACGGATTGAAATTCCTCTAACCCCGATGTCTAGTTCTTTTAAAACCCTTGGCATAGAGAGTGCATCAGATAGAAAGCTCTATTAGCTATTAAAACCTCTATCTTAATTTGAGCTAATTGCTTCACAGTTCGAATATGAAAATGTTAAACTTACTGATTTATTTTTTTTATTGTAGGTGGAAGTAATAATAATATTGATCCACGTTTTATTAGTCATTTTAGTATTGTTTATATTTCATCACCATCACGTGAATCACTTTTTCGTATATATTCAACAATATTACAAAATCATGTAATAACATTTTCAAAAGAAATTCAAGATATAATTCCAAATATAATAAATTTAACTTTACAAATATATGAAGATGTTATTCGATTATTTGTTCCAACACCAACAAAATTTTATTATATATTTTCATTACGTGATCTTAGTCGATTAATACAAAGTCTTTTACAAACAACACCTGAAAGATTTAATACTATTGAAAGATTTCTACGTGTTTGGTTACATGAATGTATTCGAATATTTTCTGATCGTTTTAATGATATAAAAGATAATGAATTATTTAATAAAATTTTAGAAAATATTATTGAAAATAATTCTTTATTAAAAATTTATCGAAATTATTTATTTCGAAAACCAATTTTATTTTCTGATTATCGTACAATATTACAAGATGATGAACCAAAAATTTATGAAGATTTACAAGATTATCATGCTATAAAATCAATATTTGATGAAATTATTTTAGAATATAAAGATAAATATGAACATATTGATATTGTTTTATTTAATGATGCACTTGAACATTTAACACGTATTTATCGTGTTTTACGTTTAGATCGTGGACATTTATTATTAATTGGTACAGGTGGTTCAGGAAAAAAATTACTTGCAAAAATTGCTGCATTTACTGCTAAATGTCAAATATTTGAAATACAATTAACAAGAAATTATAATGAAATATTATTTCGTGAAGATTTAAAAATTTTATTTTATCAAATTGGTTTAAAAAATATTAAAACTGCTTTTATTTTAAATGATGCACAAATTGTTGAAGAAAGTTTTCTTGAATATATAAATAATATTTTATCAAATGGAATAATACCTGCATTATTTACTGTAGAAGTAAACAAAAAAAATATTTGAGAAAGTTATGCATTTAAATTTTTATCTATTTAGGAAAGAGATGGAATTATTAATGAAATACGTGAAGAAGCAATAAAATATATTCAAATTTCATCAAATGAAAATATTTGGCATTATTTTATTCAAAAATGTACATTAAATTTACATGTGATTTTATGTATGAATCCAATTGGAAATCTATTACGAGATCGGTAAATCTTAGATGATTACATTTGACTATCAACGAATTTGATTGTCATAAGATCGGTTGGGTTATAGGTTTTTTTTTTTTGTTTTCAAAAGTTTAACCATATCAAAACTGATATTGATTTGTAATGTTGCAAATCGTACCAATCTCTGCTCTATTGGAATGGACTTGAGTCAGACTGATTACTAGAGATTAACAAGTTCAGATCTAAGGATCTGTTTTGAAGAGTTGAGTTTCAGAAACTGAGCTATTCGAACAACTTTCGTTCTACTTTTGGGGATGATACTTCCGAGTGAAGATGTTCAGGATAGACTTTTTTTTCATTGTCTGTACCCTGGTTGAGAAAAATTTTCTATCCGTTTTCCTACCCCGCACATCTCTACTTTTGGATAAAAAATCTTTGATCTGATATTGAAATACCGCTCATCGAATGCGACCCGGATCCGATGGGCTCTACATTTACTCAAGTGATAAATTCTAGTAATTTTCTGTTATAATGTCTTGTGTATAGAGCTCGAAATTTTCCAGCATTAATCAATAATACGACAATAGATTATTTTGCTCGATGGCCACAACAAGCTTTGTAAGTTTTTCTTTTTTTTTTTGTGTAATACTTTTCATTTTGAAATATAAAATGTGTTTAAAGATATGCAGTTGCTGAACATTTTATATCACGTTTTAAATTAATTTCTGATGAATATAAAAACAATATAATTGAACATATGGCTATGGTTCATGAATCTGCAAATTTCTATTGTGATATTTATATGGAAAAAATACGACGAAAAGCTTATGCAACACCAAAAAATTATCTAGATTTTATTCATACATTTATTCATCTTTATAAACAAAAGAAAGAAGATTTATCTAAACAAGCTGAACGATTAAATGTTGGAATTATTCGAATTGATGAAGCTAGTATACTTATACAAGAAATGGATAAAAAATTAGAAATACAACGTAAAGAACTTGGTAAGTAAAGAACAGAGATATGGAATATTGGTACCGATCTATCTTATCTACTTTTCTTATTTTATTATATAAATTTATTCAAAAATTCTATTGGTCCTAATAGTAACTCATAGACAATATATAATGAAATTGTGTTAAAAGTTGACTAAATTCCTTATATTAGAAGATTTCCTCGAAAAAATTGGAACTTTGTATATCAAAATATGCCTTTTTTTTCAGGATTTTGCCATGAAAAATCTTAAAAGATTGAGATAAATATTCTTTTTTGGCTTTTAAAAACTCTAAAAATCTCTTGCAATACATTCAAAATCGTTTTAGCTTTTTTAAAAAAACCAATTTAATTAAAAATTATAAAAATAAATAAGACACAATAGAAGACATCCGTGAAAATTTTGTACGCTCAGACATAATCAAAGACTCGGAGTCTTCTAATACCGAAGGGGTTTACACTTCAAATAACTTTATCCATAGAAGGAATCGATCCCTATCGATATAGATATCTGAGCGGTCAATCCGGTCCGATCTAATCTATTGAGAGAACGGTACTGTTCTCAGGTATAAAACATACCAGGGATTAGTCATATTATTTTCTTAAAACCTTATATTTATTCTTCTATTTTAGCAATCAAAACAAAAAAATGCGATGATTTATTAACAGAAATTACCACTTTAACAGCTAAACAAACAGAACGTAAAAGTCGAGTGAGTATTAAAGGGTCTCCATTATAGTTCATCGGTCCTACTGGGATCCGATCGGTTTCGGGTCCAAAAATTCTGGAACACGATGGGCTCTAGTCTGCATCAAAATTTTTTTTTTTCGATGAAGGACAAAGTCCTGTATAACTGTTTAAATAAAGATTTTTTTTTTCTTTTAGGCATTAGAAAAAAAGCAATTAGTTGATGAACAATTAATTACAATTGAAAAAGAAAAACATGATGCTGAATCACAATTAGAAGAAGCTATGCCAGCATTACTTGAAGCTCAACAAGGTCTTGATACACTTAAAGCAGCTGATATAACTGAAATGCGTAGTTTTGCTAATCCAGTTGATACACTACGATTAATTGGTTATTGTATGCTTATTTACTTAGGTCATCCATCTATTAGTTGGAAAGATGTAAAGTTGTTTGTTTGTTTTTGTTTTCATCTTTATCAATTTTCTCTTATTTTCTAATAGGTTCGAGGTGTTATGGCTGATATGAAATTTATAACAAATTTAAAAACTCGTGATCCTGATTTATTTACTTCTAAACAAGCTGTACAATTAAAAATTTATTTAAAAAAATTAGAAGAAAAACTTGATTCAAATCATATATATTCATTATTAGAAAAATCCGAACGTAATATAAAACTTGTTATATTAATGACAAATGTTAGTCGTGTTGGTGGTAGTTTATTAAAATTTATTCATGCTATTGATAATTATATGGATAAATATCGTGAAACAAAACCTAAAAAAGATCGTTTATTATCTATTGAAAATGATTATGAAAATAATCTTTCAGAATTAAATCGTCTTGAAATAAGTATTGATAAATTAACAAATATATTAGATGATTTTCGAAAACGATTTAATACAGCAATGGAAGATAAATTAAAATTTCAAGATGAAACTGATTTAGCTATACGTCGTCGTACAGCAGCTGAAAAACTTTTAATTGGTTTTAAAAGTGAAATATTAAGATGGAAAAATGAACTTCAATTAATGAAACAATATGAAAATGAATTAATTGGAAATTGTTTATTAGCGAGTGCATTTCTTGCTTATTGTAGTCCATTTTCATATGAAATTCGTCAAGATTTATTATATAATCAATGGAAAAATGATTTAATTGAAAAAAATATTTTATTAACAAAAAATTTTCAAATACAAAATTTTCTTTCATCAAATATTGAAATATCAGAATGGACATCACAAGGTTTACCAGCTGATGAATTTTCAATACAAAATGGTATTCTTACATTACAAACAAATCGTTTTCCTTATTGTATTGATCCACAATTACAATGTTTATTATGGATTAAACAACGAGAAAAAAAAGCTAATTTAAAAATTTTATCTATGCGTGATAGAGATTTTTTAAAACATTTAGAATTAGCAATTAAATATGGGTAAATGTAATTATTATTTGAAATCATTAAATAGATAGATTTTAATATTTTATTATTCATTTTTAAACTTTACAAAAATACTTAAGACTTTCCGACTCAAGCCAATGAAGTTTTCTATTTAATATATTTTATACGAAGATTTATTTATCATCTGTCACTTTTGTGCATTCTTCTATATGTGGTGATTGTCCACGAATATACTTCAATAAAGTCGCTTTATATCATCGATAGATATATATTCTCAATATGATGAACTATAGAATATAAGTGAATAGGGACTGAAACATTAGAATAAGCAACTCTACAATATTTGATGAACCTGCAATTGAAAGAAATAAGTTATAGATACGTTGTTAACAAATTTCATTAGTCAGTCATTAATTATCAATGAACGACAGAAGTGGCATTTTGTTTCGTGAATATGTGCTAGAATTATGCACTTCGACTGCCATTTCTCAGTTCTGATTAATGCATTTAACTCATAAATGTAGACGCATGTAGATTTATAATTCGAAATTAATATTAAATTATTTTTCAAGTGTAGACAGGACTATATTTTTTTTTCTTTTCTTTCTATTCTCAACAATAGGTTTTCTCCTCTTCTCTCTTAGGAGTTTTTCCTAAATGTGCTGGCATATTATCATATTCTATGTATTATTCATCAACATATATCTAGTCGGGCATTTATTACAATAAACAGTTTAAGTGTATCAGATACAACTATCTTTAGCTACTGATCGATAGAAGGAAAACTATTCTAATTGAAATAACTTCACAGATTTCATAAATGAATCATGATGGCAAGGTTACTGGAAAAAGAACCAGACATGATAGTTTTCAGGTGTCTTAGACGGCTACGTTTTTCAACAACACCATTTTAAAAAGAACAAAATCTTGAACAAAATGTGGAGTTAGTGCATGTTTTACGACCTTCCCTTAAAAAGTTAACAGTATTACAGAAAAACCGAAAAAAGGCGTTTTCTAGTCGAGTTTGTGATACTTGGAACTGTTATATGGAAGGTCATAGAACATGCTTCGACTCCTCATTTTATTTAGAATATTATGCTCTTTAAAATAATATTACTAAAAAATAGGTCTAATAGTAGAGAATGCATTAGATAGAAAACTTCATTAGCTATTAAAATCACTATCTAGATTTGAGTTAGGTGCTTAGCATAATAGAAAAAAAATCAAAACTACATTATTGCTCAACATTTGCCCACCACCTTACATTCAAAATCGTATGAAATTTTCAGAATATATTGAAGCTGTAGTGGAATTATCAGGATAAAATTTTCAACTCAATATCATAACGTTTTTGGAGAATTATTTGTCAAACTAGAGTCAACAAATTGCTCATTTTGTAATCCAGAATTCTTTGTGAATCGTCATCAGAAGCAATTAGCTATTTTTTTTGTTCGGTAGAAGACATTTAGGTGCATGGACTGACATAGTCCTTATTTTAAAATTCTTTCTTCTTATGTAGAAGAACTGGCTGATAGGTTCAATTCACTCAAAAAGGTGTCTTTTCAACAGTGCTTTCTTATATAATATAAAAAGCTGAATTCAAAAATCAGTCTCTGCAGCTGAGAATGCTCTTTCAAACAAATAATAATGTAATTATCTTGTGTGAACCTTTTCACAGAATTCTGAGTTACACGATCAAAAAAAACATTTCTATAGTACAGAAATTTTACGATATATTAGAATTTTTAGCCAATTGTTTGTTAAATAATAGCAATTATAAAAAGTCTTGGCAAGAAAAGAAGTGTCAGCTAGGAAGAAGGAAGAGTACTTCTGCCTTTCGGCTATGCAGAAGTATGGGGTGCTGCCTACTAGTAGATTCAGTAGCCCGATATCTTCCCGACAACTAATACTAGCAGTAGCTTTGGACAGCAGGCCAGCTTGATGCGAAACTTCTCTGCTCAATCGCCTGAGCTCCTCGTATACACTAATTGATCACAAGAACAGATGTATGTCACACTCGTTAGTGACTTGTCCAGGGGCATTCCATGGCTGGTGGTACTGATATTCGACCATAGTACCTTATGAATATGTGTCGAACAACGTAGTCATTCAGTCATGACGGTTGTGTCAGTTAACTAATTATATTGATTGTAAAAGATCACACCTCAGACTTTTACACCATACGTTGCTCATACTTTCGACTTTTCTGACGAAAACTGAAGTTTTTTCAAGTCGGAGGCACCTTAAATAAAAATGACTTTAAAATCAAGATAAATAAGTTTGCAATGATACCAAGATCTAAAATTAGTTTAGAATCTAATTCAATTATATTTAATATATAAATAAATATTCATATTCATTTAGATATCCAGTTCTTTTTAAAGATGTTGATGAATATATTGATCCAATAATCTTAGATATTTTATCAAAAAATATTCAAGGTGATTCAACTCATCAATATGTTAAATTAGGTGATAAATATATTGATATTGATAGAAATTTTCGTATGTATTTAACATGTCGTTTATCAAATCCAATATTATCAACATTACATTTTTCTTATTCAAAAGTAATTAATTATACAGTAACATTAAAAGGTCTTGAAGAACAATTATTATCTTCACTTGTTAAAATTGAAAGACGTGAATTAGAAGAAATGCGTGAAACATTAATACAAGAAATATTTGAAAATCAACAACAACAAAAATTACTTGAAGATTCACTTTTAAGAGAATTAACAACAAGTACTGGGTTTGTTTCTTTGAATAATTAAAATCTTCATGTGCGTGTGTGTGTGTGTGTTTTTTTCTCTTAATTTAGAAATATTCTTGATAATACAGAATTAATTGAAACATTAGAAAATACAAAAATCAAAGTTAATGAAGTTATACAAGCATTAAATTTAGGTGAAAGAACTCGACAAGATATTGAAAAATTACGTGATACATATCGATTAGCTGCTAGACGTGGTGCTTTACTTTATTTTTCTTTAGTTCAAATGTCAATTATTAATTCAATGGTTCGTTAAACAACACTAAAATAAATTATAGCACGAAATATCTTAGCATAAAATATTCCCTCATTTTTCAGTCTGGTTAGAGTCAGAACTTTTTGCTATTTCCGAATATATACTCAGATGAACGCAGTCATTATTTTGTGTATTGAAACAGTTTCAACTTAACAATATTGTAGAATACTGAATTCAGTACAATATGAGATATTATAATAAGCGAAATCTCATCTTTACCTTTTCACTAACGAATTAGTTTCTATGCAAGATAGGATTAGTCAAAAGACTACTGTTTCAAAGATCATTTTTAAACATAAAAAATGCTTTGAAATCTGTAATGCAAAAGTAAATACCACGATTTGTAAAACAAACTTTACTCTATAAAATTGAACCATTAAAAAAAATTTTTTTTACATTTCGCTCTTGGATAGGTTTCAATAGAAATATGTACATACAGAATCATTCACAATGGAATGTTCCTAAATGTCCGATCGCTTTTTGATCAGATGCGAGATCATGGCGAGTAATGTAAAAGTCTAAGATAGTTAGATTGTCTGTGTCTTTGTTCTTGAGATATTGAATTTTTTAACAGAAAACTGTGGTCTTTCAATTGAATTTCTATAGATTGAGCTCTCGATGATACTAACTCATCGTGAAAGTTTCAGTGATTTTCGAATTTCCTAGTCTGAGATATGAATGCTCAAAGACCTTCTGATAAACAAAAAGGCAATCATTCTTATACTGGTATTTCAGTGAAACTCAAAATTCGATTTTCATTGTGGCCTGAAGGAGATTACAATTTTCTGTTCAAAAATTCACTAAAAACTCAATATCCCAAGAACAAAGACTCAGAGAAGTGAACCATCTTAGACTTTTACACTACTCATCATGGCTTCTCGTCTGAATATAGCCTTGATCAAAAATCGATTGGACACTTGTAGACATTTCTTCGTGAGTAAAATGTCCATAGGAGCCCAAATCACTTCATGGTTTTTATAAGAACACTATGTAGTACTTAGGATGCACCAAAAGTTCTAACCACGACGTTTAAAGAATCTTTTCGGATAAGGAAATCTATTGAGAAATTAAAAATCAAATATCCGATGTTGTAGAGCTTTTGAAGGCGTGTCAAATGGTATAGAGTAAATCCTATTTTCATAAGACTCTAAAGAAATCAGAGTCAATTCACTGATAGATGACTACACATCCATATCCAGGTATGATAAGTTTCGGAATATTGTGGTCCTTGATATTAGTCGCACATATGATTTTGTAGAGTTTTTGACAGGCTACAACCTCCTATATGTAGCACCTCCTATCATCTTGTCAGTGTGGGTATAGATGTGTAGTCATCTATCAGTAAATTGACTTTAGGTTCTTCAAAATCCTATGAAAACAAGATTTACTATATAGCATTCGATGCGCCTCAAAAAACTCTACAACATGATATATTTGGTTTTTCATTTCTGAATAGATCTCTCTATCCGAAAAGATCCTTTAAACATTGTGATCAGAACTTTTGGTATGTCCTGAGTATCTACAAGCAAAAAAATCATTGAAATCGAAAGAGAATATCTGATGAGATTCTCCTATAAATGACCGAAAAATGAATGAATATTTTGTGCTAAAACTTTCGTCTCATAAGTGATATTAAACTCTTCTTTTCTCTTTTTTTGTTTTTTGTTTTTTCTAGTATCAATATTCATTAAATTCTTTTCTATCCGTTTTTGAATATAGTGTAAAAAGTTCACAAACAAATATAAAATTAAATAAACGTTTACAATCAATAATAAATACATTAACATATCAAATATATTGTTATGGTACAACAGGAATGTTTGAAAAACATAAATTACTTTATTCATTTTTAATAACAATACAAATTGAATTAGATCAACAAATAATTAATTATAATCAAATAGATTTTTTTCTTAAAGGTAATTTATTATTAGATAAAACATTAACAATTAAAACAAAACCAATATTTAATTGGTTAACATATGATGCATGGCATCATTGTTTATATCTTACAAAAAATTTTCCCGAAAAATTTCAAAATTTATTAATAAATATACAAGAAAATCATTATGAATGGAAACAATGGATTGAATATGAACAACCAGAAAATTTTTTTTTATTACCAAAACCATATAATAATTTATTAAATGATTTTGAACGATTAATGTTATTAAGATGTTTTTGTCAAAATAGAATTATTTTTGCTATAAATAATTATATAACTAAAATTATGGGAGAAAAATATATTATTCCACCAATAATTTATTTTGATTCTATATTTGAACAATCAACATCACAAATACCAATTATATTTATACTTTCACCAGGATCTGATCCAACAAATGATATTCAAAAATTAGCAGAAAGAAAAAATCATATTCGAAAAATTAATATTGAAAATAATACAACAGGAAATGATGAACAAAAATGTTTACGAATACTTGCTATGGGTCAAGGTCAAGAAAAATTTGCTTTACAAGCATTACATACAGCACAATATCAAGGAACTTGGTTATTACTTCAAAATTGTCATTTACTTTTATCATTTTTAAATGAACTAGAAAAAGAATTGGAAATATCAACCAAATCACATGTAATTATATAATACTATTCAAGTTAATGAACAAAGAAGAAAATTTTTACAGATTTTTGAATATGTATATACTAAATCTGATTGTCTTGATATAAATCGTAATAACTTTAGGTTAGACATGTACTGAATCTGACGTGTAGTTCGGAAACTATCGAACCAGTTCAGCTAGTATCGAGTATTCGGGTAATTGTCCAAGTGTTTTTTGAAATATATACGCAATCATGCAAGGATCTTTAGTTTTAATTAAGTTTGAGTACAAGTATTTCCGAACACTACTGACTTTCTTAAGGATACCTGAGAATCTTCGTTTTTTGAATGGTTTATTCCAATGTATATAGACTCACCTAAGCTTGTATCGAGACCGAGCAGCCTGGATTCGGTCGTACTGGGGCTCAGCCAGAGCCTAAGCGAGTCTAACCAAGGCCAGTCGGACACGATAGTACTTTATTGAGCCCGAGCTATGCAGACTCAGTGCATGCCTAAACTTACCATAGATACGTATGAAGTCCTTCCTGTAATTAATTAACTGAAAATGACCGCAATCTATATCGATCTTGAACTTCGAAACTGATGGAAATATTAGAAAATGAAAGATGGCATTAGTCAAGAATCAATAAATCGTACCTCTAATTTCAAAGGAACTTTTTAGTTTGTATCTGGTAGTCGTTCTAAAGATGCGAGATATTTATATTCTGCAACTAATACACATGACATATTTCTCAGGCAATCTTGACGATGATCTTATAATAATCAATTCACTATTGTCTGTTACTTTTAGAGTATGATCCTTTGATTCTGTCCTGGACCCGATCAGTAGCAAATTTTCAGACCTAGATAATTTCGGAACCAACCGGATGAACTGTATACCTGATTCCTTCTACATTGTTTTTTTACAATATCCTATTTTACTATAAAGAAATCTGCACAGAATGATCACTCTTTTTCTCAATAAACGACTGTAGTTACAACGATTCATACTATTCTTGTATAGTTTTATTGTTGAAAACGCAATATACAAAGGTGTTTTTGAACACCTAATGAAAACATATCAATTGCCATCTATAGATCGTGCTAACTAATAATCTTACTTGTTGAAGATAATCAGATTTTACATGATGAACCAATCGAAATATACAGTTTGGATTTTTGGAAAAAATAGCATTCTTGACTGTTGTACTCTTAAGCAAAAAATAACTAAACCCTAAAGGATTATCTTTCTAGAAATATCAAACAGCAATGTTATAGATATTTTTATTTTTGAAAATCTTAAGGTTTTTATATTTCTCTACATAGAACATCTTAACAAATTTTCGAGCATTGATATTTTCTAGTTTTAAGAGTGTATACAATTCCGATAACATATATATATATTATCGTATGTCTTTTAATTTCAGCCAGATTTTCGTCTTTGGATGACAACAGAACCAATTGAGAAATTTCCTAGTAAGTTAACTTATATTTTTAAGATTGTAATTAGAGGTGTAAGCCGTGCGGCTGAGCCGCCGTCGCCGCCGATAAACTCGAAAAATTTTAAGCCGCCGCCGCCATGACAGTAGAAATTTTAGAAATTTTTAAGCCGTCGCCGCTGAGGCACTTTAATTACAGCCGCCGCGCCGCCGATAGTATTCGAAATTTTAAAATTATCGAGCCGCCGCCGCCGGCAACTATTGTAAATATCGATAACATTTCATTTATATTTTCCTTAATTCGATACTTTTACATCTTAGAACCCCAATATATCTCTTTTTCATTAACTTTCTCGCCTTCACCTTCATTTTCATGCTGGTTCTCTGACCAATCAGATGCTTGGGGTTCTAAATTGTGAATGAACCCTTAATTCTGTGTTGGTTGAAAATTCTAAGTTATCATTTTAGTTTATGTCTCTTATATTAGATATATTTAGAAATACAAGAAGAGACGAGCATTTTAAATTTTAATTAACAAAAACAAAATAAAAACAACAAACTTGAGTATGCTAAGTGCTTTTACTTATTAACAATCGTGGCGGTGATTTCTCATTTATTATTTATCCTGGCAATTATATTTATTTTTAATTATAGACTTTTTTATTATGTCTAGATGTGAAATAAAGTTTTTCCACATATGTGTTTGAAAATAAAAAGGCCAAGATATTGAAATAGGCCTTGTCTACACTAAAAATTTTGACGCTGAATTAAGAAACATGATTGGTTGAACAATTAGTAAATATTTAAAACACTTTTAAAAAGTGCATTAAATTTATTGCACATTTCAGAACAACATTAAATTTGATGCACCAATCAATGTCTGATTCGATTTTCTAATGAGACTGACACAATTTTCAATGGACGAGTCCTCTATGATTGAAGTGAACAAAAACCACGATTCATTTCGACGTCTAGGATTCTGATTGATGCATTAACTGTCAAATGTAGACACGAATTGATGTAACACGAATTTGATACTACATTATATTCCTAGTGTAGACAAGGCCATAGACTAATATTTTTATGATAATGTAGTACTTTTTAAACTTCAAGCCGCCGCCGCTGAGACACTTTAATTACAGCCGCCGCGCCGCCGATGGTATTCGAAATTTTAAAATTTTCGAGCCGCCGCCGCCGCTGTGCAACCTTAAAATATCATATCTGCGCCGCCCAGCATTTTTAAAAAATTTTAAAAAACTGCCGCCGCCGCCGATCAGCCTATCGGCTTACACCTCTAATTGTAATCATTGGATGGTTTGTTTTCAGTTGGACTTCTTCAAAAGTCATACAAAGTAGTAATAGAACCTCCATCAACTCTTAAATTAAATCTTCGTTCAACATTTATTAATTTAAATTTACAAACATTTACTGAATCTGATCATCCAGCATATCCTTGTATGATATTTATTCTTGCTTTCTTTCATGCAATTATACTTGATCGAAGAAAATATGATAAAATTGGATGGTCATGTATATATGATTTCAATGAATCAGATTGTAAATTTTTTTTCGATTAATTGATCAATAAAATCAATATTTTAGTTTTTCATTTATTTTAGTTCATGTTTCAGTTGATATTTTAAAATCTTATTTAAATATGAGTTTAGAACGTGGAAGTCTTGAAATTCAATGGCCAACATTACGATATTTAATTGGAGAAGGTATATTTGAACTGCATATTTTTATGAAACACAATCTAAAAGGAGTGTTGAAGTATATAGGGTAGAAATATGCGCCTCTCTCCTTTCCCAACCGTAATATACATTGCCATGAAAACGTTACAGATCGTAACCGACATCTTAGGAACACTTTTCCTTAGAACCCGTAGGACTGGTTCCGACTCAACTGGACTCGCACCCGACAATTTAGGATCCAATGGACTCTATTTCGTCCCATTTCTGCATTACAGAGCGTGACAGATAGGGCTCACCGGGTTCGTGTTCGAAAATCCTCGGACTCGATGGGGTCTAGTGACAGACACCTCAGCATCACTACTTCCAGAGACACAGGTATCTTAAAAATAGTCCCTCTCTTCGTCACAGGTCATGACTGCCATTGTTGATATACGATCACAGACGGTACTTCAATACTGAAGTAAACAGATGGTGAAAAAAAAAGTGCCCCAAAATAGATAGAATAAAACAATCTCTCTGTGATTAACAACAGTAGCTACATTATGTTTCATATTTTATACTCGCAAGAATGATTGCGCTAACAGCCTCTTTTTTTGTTCAATAAAATTAATTCTTGTTTGTAGTTATATATGGTGGTCGTGTAATTGATTCATATGATCGACGTATAATTCATACTTATATGAAAGAATATTTTGGAGATTTTGTTTTCGATTATTTTCAACCATTTCATTTTTTTATTGATACAAACAAATCATTGAAATATGATTATTTTATTCCTGAATTACGTGATTTTTTATCAGCAAAACAAAGATGGTTATTAAGAGAAGCAAATATATCAGTATTTCTTTTTTTTTTGTGGGTTGTGTTTTCCTTTTTTTTGTTTTGTTTATTGATTTATTTTAGATTGAACCACAAATTGAATATAATTTCGAAAAATTTTTACCGGAGAAAATTTCGAATCTTTTTCAACATAATCTAGAAAAATTAACTGTTGATATTAATCAAATTGAATATCGACAAATGGATTATCAATTCTTATCTAAAAATGTTCTTTTTAATCAATTTTTTCATTATTCTATTTTTCGTGATCTTTATCTAGCTTATATTGATCAATTACCACTTTATAATCCACCTGATATACTTGGTTTACATGCAAATGCAGAAATCAATTATTTAACTAAAACAGCATATGAAATTTACTCTATGATGCTTGATATACAACCTGAACAACATGATATTGAAGATAGTTCAAGTAGAGAACGTAAGAAAAAATTGTTTCATCATACGTAAAAATAAGATATGGATCTTATCAAATTAAATCTCTTCTTAGGGAATTAATTACTTAGAAATTAGTATAATGTTCATAAGAATGTGGAAAAATGTACTGAGATAAATTTCGATAAGCTACTCGACCAAGCATCTGTGGCTCGAGCCGTGCATTAGTTTCAAAATAATTTTCTGAAATCGATGCTGAGCTCTATTTAGCGAAGTTTCCTCGTCAATGAATGATTATTCTGAATTTAGTATTTATGTTAGATTAATATTAAATAAATCTTTTCCAAAATTTCAAACATCGGATGTTGATGTAGTTTTAAAAAAAGCATAAGCTTCAATTGACTTTTGTTTCTCAAGTAACTTCGAGTCTTTCATAATGTAATTGATCGTCTATATAACATTTTTTCACAAATGTCAAAATGTAATTCTAATACAGTATTCATTTCAGATTAATGATCACCACTAAATATTTCTTATAAGTTTAGTTTTCATTACTTAACTTTAATTTAATCATTATCAAAGTGATTTTGCATTTAATATTAGTAGACACAGATTATTATTTCGAAAGAAATTTCAATATAGAAAAGAATCGTATATTGTTTTTTTTTATTGATTTAGAATTTATTTTATCATTAATTGATGATATTCTTCAACAAATTCCACCAAAAAAAGATCTTAATATAATAAAACAAAAATTTAAACAATTTTTAACACCATTAACAATTGTTCTTATTCAAGAAATTCAACGATTTAATTTACTTACATCAATTATGTGGAAATCAATAAATGAATTAAAACAAGCATTAAATGGTCAAATTAATTTTTCATTTCAACTTGATGAAATAAATAAATATCTTTATCATGGACAAATACCATTATTATGGAGATCATATACACCACAAACAAAAAAATCACTTGGAAATTGGATTGAACATTTTCAACGAAGAAATCAACAATATGATACATGGATAAATAATGGTAAAGAATTATTCTTTTACTTTATAAGATTTTTCTTTTATTACTAATTTAGGTGAACTTAAAATAATTAATTTAAGTGGATTACATGTACCTGAATCTTATTTAGCTGCTATTATACAAATAGCTGCACGTAAAAATCGATGGCCTTTAGATAAAGTAACATTTTATACAAATGTTACAAAATGGCAAAATATAGGTTTGAGTTGTTTGTTTTTTTTTTGTTTAAATAAAAAACAAAAATGTCTATTGTCAATTTAGATGATGTTGATGAATCTATTCAAGGTATGTATTTAATTGAAGGTTTATATTTAGAAGGTGCTGGATGGGATATAGAAAATCATTGTTTAATTGAACAATCAAATAAACAATTGATTCAAATGATGCCATTAATTAAAATTATACCTATTGAAACACATCGATTTAATATGAATAATTATTTACAAACACCTGTTTATGTAACAAGTGATCGTCGAAATGCAATGGGTGCTGGTTTAGTATTTGAAGCTAATCTTGATTCAAAAAAAGATCTTTCACATTGGATACTCAATGGTATATGTTTATTATTAAATACTGATTAAAT